TTCTTCTTCTTCTTTTTTTTTTTTTTTTGGTGCTTAGTTGGAGATAAGAGTCTCAAGGACTTTCCTGACTGGGCTGGCATTGAACTGTGAGCCTCAGATCTCAGCTTCCTGAGTAACTAGAATCATGGGTGTGAACCATTGGTGCCCAGCTACCTCAGCTATCTTTTAAGGGTTAGTTTTGAGTTCCAGATATATTACACAAACTGCTTGGTGATCTATCTATTTATCTATCTATCATCTATCCATCTATCTATCTCACTTAATTCTGACATCAGTCTGGCAAGATTGCTGTTATTTCCATTCTGTAGATGAAGAACTTAATGCAAGGAGGCTAAATAATTTTCTAAAGTTATATGTAGTATGTGGCAGTGTGAAATGAAGTGAATACTCTTTTGGTTCCCTTGTATTATTCATCTATAATACTGTGATTCTGATTTTATTTTAATGATAATAAATTCTGAACTGCTGAAAATAAAGCAACAAATGCTCTTGTGGTACTGGGGACTGAACCCTAGGCCTTGTGCCTGCTAGACATGTGTTCTGCCACTGAATTACATCCCCAGCCTAGTGGATTGTTCTTGGATCTTAACAACATATTGTTTGGAATTAATAACAATCTTTTAAAAAGTTCATTTTATTTTTTTGCTTATGTGCTACCAAGGAATTGAACCTAGTAATTAGGATTTTAGGCATGAGCCTTTGGCATACAACTAAAACATTTTTTATTAGCATTCTAGGAAGCCAGGAGTCAATAAATAAATATGTGAATGAACCTGTATGCTTTTTTTCCCACATTAGTCAAAAATACTTTCCCACATAATAGATGATACAATATATTTTTGCTTTCTAGGAGCTTATGGTATAAAAGAAAATAGAAAAAATACAGGTATCAGTGCATATAGAAATAAATATAGTTGTTTAAAGACTCCTACTCTTATTTATGTGCAGTGAAGGAACATATTGGTTAATTATGAATTGAAGTGTGGATATTTTTTGGGTAGAAGAATTTGCTAGGCAATGAGAAGTTTCATATTAATTTAGTTTTGAGATGGGAATTACTTATGGCTCTTACAGAAAAGATTAGCAGGAACTTAAGCTGCTTTGTAGTATGGTGGTAGGTGGGGAATAAATGGGAGTAAAGTAGCTTAGAAGTAGCAAATTTTAAAATATTTTTAGAAAATGAGAAGGTTGAACCTAAGGAATTGATATGTTATATGATACTTTAGTTCAAACACGTGGAATATACAGATGAAAGGAGCAGTTTTTCAGTGGAGTTTTTAAATAGCAGTCAGGGGCAACTTCTTTCCAGGTAAACTAACAGGGATTTTCTACGATTAGTGATTATAGAGGTTTGCATCTCCAAGTGTTATTCATCAACCAGAAGTTTTCAGAAAGAGTCATAATACTTATGTCATAGTTTGATATATTTACATTTGTTTTTCAGCCCTCCATTAGAAAGTGTATCTTGTTTAACTGTTGAACTTTTCAAATGTCTGAGTAGGTATTAGACATTCTAGAACCTTCTGCCTGCATTTATATGCCAGTTTAGTATAGTATTATATGTACAAATCCAATGCCAACTTCTCTTTCTCATTTGATGTTCTGGCATGTGAAATGCTCTCAGCAAATTCTAGCATATTTTGAAGACCTGTTATGTACTTGAGAAAAATATGCCATACTAATTATTACTAATTATATTTGTGTTTTTGAGAATGACTGAAAATCCTATGTACAGGATGTTTTCATATGCTAAATCCTAGCAGCATTAAAGAATATTGGGAATATAAGATAGACTCTGTAGAGAGGTCATTAGACGAGAAAGAAGGCATTGTTCGTTTTCCTTTCTAGTTTTAGAATATTGAAAAAAAATGACACCAGTAGATTATCCCTGAAGATATTAGAGAAAGTTTTTCCTAAAAGTACTGAAGTTGGAACATTTGATTCATGCTTGAACTCTTAGAAAAAACAATAAATACAAATAAAAACAACACTTAAATTTTTTTTCAGTTGTGGTAATTAAGAATATCCTAATCATGAGATTCATAAATAGTTGCCAAGATGGTAAGCCAAGATCTTGGCACCATCTGATGCTGTTCATTGTTAGTGGGCTACATTAATTGGTTTATGATTAAGTCACCTGGCTCACTTCTTAGTTCTTTTCTGCATTTAAATTCACTGACTAAAATGGTAAGATAGAAGGAAAATTAGCTCTAAACACTGCATTTCCATTTCTATAGATTCATTTTTTCCCTTTAGAGCTTTTATTTTCTTAGGTTTCTAAACTATATTCCTTATATCTGTCAGTTGACTAGGATGACAAAATAGAAAATATGGCATATTTATCTTCCAGATATAATAAAATCATTTAATGCATTTTGTAACTGTTTTTGGTCTAACTCAGCTAAATTGAAGAGAAATGTAGCTTTGTTTTATCTAGACAACTTTTAGGTCTAAATGTCAGCCATATGTCATTCAGTTGTCTCTTCAGTGTGACCTTTATTCCTCACTCCCCCCCCCCCTTTGTGTAATTTGTACTCTATAATTTTCTATTTGGACTGATGTGATAAACATTTTTTGGTAGCAAACTTGTCTCCTCATTAAAACAAAACACAGCTCCTATTCCAGAAGAGATACTGATGACAAGTAACTATATGAAAAAACATTCCACAACATAATTTATCAGAGAAAAGAACATTAAAATGATAAAACATATACACCTGCTAGTATGTCCTTCCAGAGCAACAACAATAGATACCCATGAGCTGTGGAGCAAGAGGAATTCCCATTCATTGCCAGTAGGAACTCATACTAGTACAGCCACCTTGGAAGTCAACTTGGTAGTTTCTTGAGAATTAGTTACAGTCTGCCATACAGTCTAACAATTGCATTTCTGGGTGTTTATCCCAAAGTCAGGAAACCATAACCATGCAAATACTTGGATATTGATGTTTTGTATCAACTTTATTGTAAGTGCAGAATTTGGAAGCACGGAGTGGATAGAAACAAACCGAGGCATATCCAGACTCTGCACTATTACTTAGTGCTAAAAAGGAAATGAGCTATCAAGTCGTGGTAGCCATGTGGTGGAATCTTAATGGGCATTTTACTAATTGAAAGAAGCCAAAATGAAAAAAACTACACACAGATGATTCAAATTATATGACATCCTGGAAAAGGCTAGTTGAGATAGTAAAAAGATGAGCAGTTGCCAGGGTGAGGGGAATGAGGACCAAGCAGGTTAAGCACAGGAGATTTGGGGTACAGTGATGCTATCATAATAGCTGTATGCTATCATAATAGCTACATGTTACATTTACTGAAACCCATAAAATATGCAATACCACAAATGAACTTTAGTGTAAATTATTGACTTGGCTTGTAACAATGTGACAATGTAATATAATGTGATATTAATAGCATCATTTATAATGAAGTCCATTAAAAAGTAAAATTGAGCTCTAGCCTTGAGCATGAAAGCTTAGGGACAGTGCCTAGGCCCTGAGTTCAAGCCCCCAGCAAAAAAACAAAAAAGTAAAAGTAAAATTTGGGCCACAAAAGAATAAGGAGCTTATGTCTTTCTAGAAAAAGATGTTTAAGAAAACAGAATTACAAGCATTATCTCTATTTAAAAATATTGGTATAGTATAATTTGCATAAGCTGAAATGCATACTGAAACAAAACAAAAATATGGATTACTACTCTTAGTCCTTATAGCTATATTGCTATAGTCTTATTACTATGCAGAGGTCCAGTTAATCACCCTACAAAGATGAGTCACTGTGTTAAAGCACAAATAGGAGATACAGTCTATATATTATGTAGTACAGATAAATACAATTACGTGTTTTTTCTCACTAAAATGTGATTATGAGAAAAAATTTGTGCTGTATAAAATATAAGCTAATTCCTTAATATTTTTTCCTGTGACATTTTCCCTCATGGCACTCTTCCTTTTTCTTTTGCTCTGTTTCCATCTGGGGATAGAATGGAGGGTTAGGTACATGCTAAGCAGGTACTCTACCGTGATCTACAGTCTTAGTTGGAAGTATTGTCTTACTTAAAAACCATCAGTGGCTTTTTTTAGAATCTTTTCACTGATGTCTGTCGTGTTTCACTGACAGCCCCAGGCTGTCTACAGATTTATACCCTATTGCTACTCCACCAACACTTACTAGTGTTTTCTTCTGTCCCTCAGGAGGTACTGTGGGCTAGTGGGAGAACAGTTCTTGGTTGAGTACCTCTTGCCTGTGCATTGTAGTTAATGTTCCTGCCCCTCTCCCATCCAGTACCTACCAGTAGTAGTTGGGAGGGCTTGAAAAGAAGAGGAAGAAGAGAGCAGACCTAAGTTCTTCCAATTGAAAATGCCTTTGCTCGACAAATTGTGTTATTTGTGGGTTCCACTTGAATTTGTTTTCGTTGTTCTTTTTTTCTGTATACACTTACTAAAGTCTAGTTCTTTTTCATCAGGCCAATTGCTTTCATGTAAGAGTCAGGCACATCATTTATTAGTTACCCCATTGTAATAATGTACACATATATAAAACATAATATGTAGTGGCAGTGATGGTGATATAACTATGTTGGAAAGAGGAGCAATCAAATTAAAACCTATGATCTCATGCTTGACTTACAGTTTGGAAATTAATAAGGAAACAAAGAAATAGATAGTGTAGTATTCTGGTAGAGTGCTATGAAGAAAAATCAAGTAGAGAGTAAAGGAGAAGGTTAGTTTAGGAGGAACAGAGTTAGAATGAAAGGTGTTTGTTTAACATGGATGTATTTAAGGAAAAAGAGCTTTGCAGACAGAGGAAACTACAAGTAGGATTATTTATTTTTAGTCAGTTGTGTTCATACATTATATTTTTTTCATTTTGATGTTTCAAGCTTCTTAGGCTGAAGTTTAATTTTATTGCATTTTTCTTCCTTTTAAAATGCCTTATTTTACTGTAGCTTGCGTTTTGGTGTGGCAAGTTAGTAATTGTTGTTTGTTTTATTTTAGATCCCTGCATGTCACTGAATCCACCATGCTTCACAGAAGAAGATAGATTTAGTCTGGAAGCTCTTCAGACGATCCATAAACAAATGGATGATGACAAAGATGGTGGAATTGAAGTAGATGAGAGTGATGAAGTAGGTGGAAAGCTTTTTCCCTGTGTTTTCTTACAAGAGACTCACTGGGTTGCTAGTCTTGTTTTCCTTTTGCTTCTCATGACTCAGCTTACAAGCCTTTAGTATCTTTAGCTTTTTTCTTTCCTTTTCCTTTTCTTTTTGGGTGATTATGGGGTTTAACTTAGGGCCTCACGACTTCTACTAGGACTCTGAACCATTTTTAGCATTAGTTTTTCTTAGATAAGGTTTTGTGTTTTTGCCTGTGGCTGGCCTCAATGTGTATGCCTCCCTTGTCTCTGGGGTTAAAGAAATGATCCACTATACTTGCTTGTTTGTGGAGAGAAAGTCTTGATAACTTTTTTTATTTTCTGGCATAGAACTCTGATTTAGTGTCTACTCACTGAGAAGCTGGGATTACAGAACTGGGATTACAGATGTACACTGCCATGCCCAGCCCTTTTTCTTTCCTTTCTTCTCTTTTTATGCTTTAATTTTACCCTCAATATTTAAATGGCTTTCTTTTTTTTTAAATGTCTATTTATATACAGGGCTTGTCAGTTTTTTTTCTTGTTTCTTTTTTAAGACTGGTGTCTTGATATATTATCTAGTTTGTTCTCAAACTCTTGAGTTCAAGAGATCTTCCTACCTTAGTCTGCTGAATAGCTTTGTAGGATACTACCATGTCTGGCTCTTCCCAGGTATAAAAATACCTTCAGTGTCATACAGATTTCTTTTTTTTAATTTTCTCTTTTTGTTGGTCATGGGGCTTGAACTCTGGGCCTTGGCACTGTCTGTCAGCTCTTCAGCTCAAGGCAAGCACTCTACCACTTGAGCTCTACAGTGCTACTTCCAGTTTTCTGGTGGTTTATTGGAGATAAGTCTCATGGACTTTCCTGCCCTGTCTGTCTCTGAACTGTGATCTGAGGATCTCAGCTTTCTGAGTAGCTAGGATTCCAGGCGTGAGCCCCTGGCACCCAGTACTCTGGGATTTCTTAAACACATATCCTGTTCTGACTGTGTCAGTTATGTACTGTTGCTTTACAGACAACCCATAATATAACATAATGACAACAGTTTATTGTTTCTCTAATTCTGTGAATTGGCTGTGTTCAGCTGGACAGTTTTTCTGTTCATGTAGAAATGGGCTGAGGTCATTAATGGCAATCAATATTCATTTGTGAGGGCTGGGACTGTATAACCTAAGATATCCTTCTAACCAGCATGATATCTCCTTCTCTGCCTCTCATCATTCAGGAGCCTGGCTTGAGCTTTATTATAGCCTGACAGCTGGCTTCCAAGTACTGGTATTACAAGAAGATGAGTTCCTATGCGCTAGTGCTTACAAGACTTCTGCTTGCCAATGCTCGCTAATATCAGATTGGTGAAAAGTGAGGCAATTGGCTAAGCTCAGAATCTGTGAGAGAGGATTGTACATGACAGAGACAACTGGGAGAGACACTTTACTGATTTACTAATTTACTATACCTGCTGTCTTTAGTTCTTTTTTCTTTGTTGGTCATGGAGCTTGAACTGTGGGCCTGGGCGCTATTCCTAAGCTCTTTAGCTCAAGGCTAATGCTCTACCACTTGAGCCACAGTGCCACTTCCAGTTTTGTGAGTGGTTTATTGGAGATAAGAGTCTCTTGGACTTTCCCACCTGGGCTGGCTTTGAACCGTGATCCTCAGATCTCAGCCTCCTGAGTAGCTAGGATTACAGATGTGAGCCAACACCCGGCCTGTCTTTAGTTCTTAAATATTCCTATCATTTTCTTCCAAAGTTCTTAGTTTCTTCAAAGAAGTTGTTTTCTTTATTTGTTCGTGGTCTCATTTTAATCAATTAGAACTTTTAAGAAAAGGCCTTCCTTTTTAACTTCTTTGTTGTGTTTGTCAGTTGACATGCTTCATGTATAGTAAATTACATTATCTCCTGTATTATATAATGTGATATGGCAGTGATATCCTCTAATAACATTGTTTCCTAACAATGTTATTACAATAAATAATAAATTGTTGTCAAACAATAATATATATATATATATATATATTTTTTTTTTGGTTGGTCATGTGGCGTGATCTCTTAGCCTGGGCGCTGTCCCTGTGCTCTTCAGCTCAAGGCGAGCGGTCTGTCACTTGCGCCACAATGCCACTTCTGGTTTTCTGGTGGTTAATTGGAGATAAGAGTCTCACGGACTTTCCTGCCCAGGCTGGCTTTGAACCATAATCCTCAGATCTCAGCCTCTTGAGTAGCTAGGATTACAGGTGTAATCTGGGCACCACCAGCACCCAGCAACAATAATATTCCTTAAAGATAAATTCTTGATCTCCTGTACAAAGTATTTGTTTTGGGAATGCCTGTCTGGTTTCAGGTTACTCCTGATTCTTGTATCTCTAAGCCAGTTTGTATGATGTACATGTATTACTTTCTTCCTGATACTTATTTTTTTTATTATGTTTAAGTAATTATCCAAGAGTTGGCCATTTAACAAAGCAGTTTATGTATACAGTGCACCTTGATCAGTGTCACCCTTGATATTTTTGAAGACTCTTCCTGTTGCTTTAAATTTAGTATGGGGGGCTGGGAAGGTGGCTCAGTGGTAGAGTGCTTGCCTTGCATGCATGAGGCCCTGGGTTCGATTCCTCAGCACCCCATAAGCAAAAAGAAAAAAAGCCGGAAGTGGCACTGTGGCTCAAGTGGTAGAGTGCTAGCCTTGAGCTGAAGAGCTGAGGGACAGCGTCCAGGCCCAGAGTTCAGGCCCCACGACCGGACCCCGCTCCCCCCGCAAAAAAATAAATTTAGTATGGTTAAAGCTCTTTCATTTTAGATTTCTTACTGTTCAATATCACTTCTGCACCTATGTCTCCTCAATTCTTCTAAATTAGGAGTGAACAGACTTTCTCTATAAAGGGGTGAACAGATTGAAATGTGTCTTTCAAAGACATATGTTTTGGAAACATAATCCCCAGTACCATAAGATGTGACTCTTGGAAGTAGGGTTGATGCCTGTGCTAGAGAAATGCTCAGAGATCTATGCTGGCAATGTAGCCATGTCTAATTTGTGCCTTTATAACAGAATTTTACAGACTGGGTAATTTATAATGGACACCTTACAGTTTTGGAGGCTAGGATGTTCAGTACCAAGGTACCAGTAAGTTTGATGATTCTGGTCCCATAATGGCTCCCTGAATGCTGTGTCTTTTGAGAGGAGGGACACTTTGATTACATGGCAGATAATTCTAAAGGGATAAACTTTGGCCTTTTATAATGACATCCTTTCCACTCATGAAGGTAAGGCCATTGTGGTCTATTATCCCCCAACATCCTATTTTCTTTTTTTTTTGGGGCTCCGGTTGTGGGCCTGAACTCTGGGCCTGGGCGCTGTCCTTCAGCTCTTGAGCTCAAGGCTAGCACTCTACCACTTGAGCCACAGCACCACTTCTGGCTTTTTTCTTTTTTTGCTTATGTAGTGCTGAGGAATCGAACCCAGGACCTCAGGCATGCAAGGCAAGCGCTCTACCACTGAACCACCTTCCCAGCCCCCCAACACCCTATTTTCTAACATGACAACCAAATTTCATGGTAAGTTTTGCAGGGGACAGGCATCCAAACTGTGAAATGCCACTATTACAAAAATATTTAAATCTAGAAGATTTCAGAAATTCACATTTTTGAATAGTAGAAATATCTTTTAAAGAAAAAATTACAATTGTGTATGATCTATAGATGGAGAGAGTATTATGTAAACATTGACAGATATTTAACATAGTAGTTCATAGAATTACAAGTTAATCATTTTTAATTCATTAGATGTTAAATGCATATGTGTGGAGTGTTACCACTGTGAACAAATCCTTGAGTACATCAGAGCCTCTTGTTTTTGCTTGACTTTTTCATTCAAGGCTGGTGCTCTGCCACTTGGACTACAGTTCCACTTGCAGCTTTTTTTTTGTTGATTAATTGCAGATAAGAGTCTGTCAGATTTTTCTGCCTGGGCTAGCATTGAACTTTGATCCTCAGAGTAGTTAGGATGATAGGCATGAACTACTCGTTGGATGTCTGGCTAAATGCTTATTTTTATTATTTTTGAAAATTTTATATTATTGTAAAGATGCTGTACAGAGGGGTTACAGTTACATGAGTAAGGCACATTTCTTGTTGAACATTGTTACCCACTCCATTGTTGTTCTCCCATTATCCCTTTCCTCCATCCACTCCCCCCCTGGAATTTGTAAAGTTCATTTCCAACATAGTATCCTGTGAGTATCATTGTTGCAATGGGTCATCCTTCATACTTCTTTCATCATTTTGTTATTTCCCTTCCCTTCCCTCAAATTAGATAAGTAAAATAAGAAACAACTAGATACAGTACATTGGTGACACCAAAGTTGACATATGAAAAAAAGAGACCTGTTGTTTCCATGTCTTGGAGTTCATTTCAGGTAGCATCAATTTGTGTGGTCATAGTAACTCCTGAGCTATTATGATTCTCTGCAATAAGAAGAAAGAGGCTGAAGTAAATGCTTATTATTTTTAACTGAAGCTTTGTATGTCAAAAATTGTATCAACTCAGGCACCGGTGGCTCATGCTTGTAATCCTAGCTCCTCAGGAAACTGAGATCTTTGCTGCTGGGGCAGCAAAGTTTGTGAGACTATTTCCATTGAGCACCAGAAAACCAGAAGTAGAGATAGAGCATTAGCATTGAGCGCAAAAGCTCAGGGAAAGTGCCCATACCCAGGCTCTGAGTTTAAACCTCGTGAGTGACCAAAAAAAAAAAAATAATTTAGCATTCACTTGTTTCTCAAAGCAAACAGTATAGTACCTAAAAACTTTTTACCCTACCATTTTTTATCATTCAGTCTGTTTTACTTCTACTTTCACAATTCTGTTTCATTATAATGGGTTCTGCTTTTGTTAGACTGTCTAAGTCATAGCATATTAGAGTCCCCATTAGTGCATTATAGTTCAGTTTCATGTTTTTCTAGTGGAGTAGGAACTTAAGCATCACAGTATAATTTTTATAGAA